TCGGAATAAAGGGGACAAATAGAAAGCCTGGCAGTCAAGTTGAGACAAACTATCTTTAAATAGGATTTATTGCCATTCATGTAATCTCATTTGCCTATAGAATATAGTGATACATTCTATAAATCTGTGTTTATAGAACGTAATTCTTTATAAATCAGTTTCTAGAACACAGTGAGGCAAAAGAAAGCTTTAAAAACCAATTTTTAAGAGATAAACGAGGGTTTCACCTTATAGTAGGAAACTCCTTGATATCTGCTTCCCGATGGCAGCATACATGCCTTCTTTCCTGCCATGGATTTCATCAACCAGCTTCCATATGTATCAATATACTTTGTCTGCTCACCTGCTCCAAATATTCTACGTTCACTCTCATAAGGACCCTTTCTTTGTCCTATATCACCGAGAATTGTCTTTTTACTAAATCATTCCCATCACTATATAAAACAACCCGACAATAATTCCTGTCTTAAACTGTCTCTCAGTCACTGTCCATTTCTCTTCTCCTTCACAGTAAAACTTTTTTAAAATAATTTTATTGGGGGCTCTTACAGTTATCACATTCCATACATACATCCATCGTGTCAAGCACATTTTTACATTTGTTGCCATCATCATTCTCAAAATATTTGCTTTCTACTTGAGTCCTCGATATCAATTCCTCATTTTCCCCCTCCCTCCCCCGCCTTCCCTCCCTTATGAACCCTTGATAATTTATAAATTATTATTATTTTTCCATGTCTTACACTGTCTGATGTTTCCCTATTATCTTCCCCCCCCCCAGGGAGGGGGTTATATGTAGATCATTATGATCGGTTCCCCTTTCTCCCTCACCTTCCTCTTCCCCTCCTGGTATCTCTACTCTCATTATTGGTCCTGAGGGGTTTATCTGTCCTGGATTCCCTGTGTTTTCAGTTCCTATCTGTACCAGTGTACATCTGGTCTAGCTGGATTTGTAGAATTAGGAATTGGGATCATGGGAATTGGGAATTTGTAGAATTGTAGAATTGGGATCATGATAGTGGGGATGGGGAGAGGGGGAGAAAGCATTAAAGAACTAGAGGAAAGCTGTATGTTTCATCGACGCTATACTGCACCCTTGACTGGCTCATCTCTTCGCTGCAACCCTTCTGTAAGGGGATGTCTAGTTGCCTACAGATGGGCTTTGGGTCCCCATTTGTACTCCCACTCATTCACAATGATATGATTGTTTTGTCCTTTGATGCCTGATACCTGATCCCATTGACACCTCGTGATCACACAGGCTGGTGTGCTTCTTCCATGTGGGCTTTGTTGCTTCTCAGCTAGATGGTGGCTTGTTTATTAATTAACATTTTTTCTATATGTAAAATTCAGGATAGGTAAATCTGTAGAGACAGTAACTGGATTGAGAGTTCCTTATGGTTATGGCTGGGCAGGTTGGTGGGAAATGGGGAACGAACAATGATGAGTGGAAACATGAATAAAATGTTCTCAAACTGATTGTGGGGGTCATTGCACAGCTCCTCTCGAGGCGACTGGACTAGTGAATTGTCTGATGTGTGAGTTATATGCCAATAAAACTATTGAGAAATCTAGCTTTTCCTTTCAAGTAAATGATGAACATGAAAAAATGTAGCTAGTTCATTTTTTGAATACAAATCACCGAAGTGATTTTCTTTGAGATCACCTTCTGTACCCTGAGATGCAGCAGACATGCTCTTTCATCACAGAGAAAATGAAAAATGTGTGTCCTCAAAGTTTTTGCTGTTGGTTTGGGGTTTCATGTTTCATGTAGGGCGGTGGGTTTGGGGTTTGGGCCGGGGGATTATGTAGGGCAGTGGGTTTAGGGTTTGGGGCGGGGGATTATGTAGGGCAGTGATGCTCAAGTTAGATAGGGCAGTTAGTTGCCATCAAGTTGGCTCCAACTCATGGCAAACTCGTGTCTAAGGCTGCTCAGTCCTGTGCCATCTTCATGACCAGTCGTATGTTTGAGCCCACTCTTTTGGCTATTGTGTCAATCCATCTCATTGAGGGATTTCCCCCTTTTAAGTAATCTTTTACAATACTAACTATGACGTCCTTTTCTAGAGAGTAGTCTTTCCTGATAAGATGTGCAACAGAACAAAGGTTCACCAGCTTCTTCTCCGTGGAGCTTTCTGCTTGCATTGCTTCTAAAGCTCATTTGTTCATTCATATGTCAGTGCTTGAGCCACATTAATAGATCATCATTCATTTATTCGATAGTCTTCAATACCACCATACTCTGGGTTAGATATTTAATCAAGTTAATAATGTTACTGCTTCCTCAAGATCAATCTTAAATGAAATAGACATTATACTGAAAATGTATGTCAGTGAAGAATTCAATGACTGTATACAATTTAGTATTCTGTATTGTTTTTGTGTTAAGGTGCCAGCAGCTTTATCCACTATAGCTTTTGTATCACAGCAAATGATAACACATTTTTAAAAGGCAAATACGCATCATAGTATTATCATCAAAATAATCTTTACAGACTATATAAAAGGATCTCAGCAAGATCATCATGGATTTAGATCATCGGTTCTCAACCTATGGTTCGTGACCCCTTTCACAGGGGGTCGCCAGATTCATAACAGTAGCAAAATTACAGTTATGAAGTAACAATGAAAATAATTTTATGGTTGAGGGGAGTCACCACAACATGAGGAACTGTATTAGGAAAGTTGAGAACCACTGAGTTTGGCATGGAAGTTGCCTTCATTTCAGCCACATGAGAATTGCTAATACCTAAACAAAACTGAAGTTCTGTTAGGAAGGAGAAAAAGGGTCATGCTATTGAGGCAACTTACAAGGCATGCTATAGGAATTTAAGAGAGCCAGCTAATGTGGAGTTCACAAAGTGTGAGGTGCACACTAGTCAAAGCGTTCTCTAACTTGACGTTCTCCTCAATACTGTTTAAAGAACAATAGGTGGGTGAAGGGAGA